ATGGAAGTAGTGAGAAAATGCATGGTGATTTTTAGCCTTACTGAGGGTATGATCCTTGATAGAGAACAATGGAGGAATAAGACTCATGTAGCCAACCCCAAATCATTGTGATAAGGCTTAGATGATGATGATGATATTTTTTTTTTTTTTTGTGGCTTATATGATATTCATGAATGTTTGTCTTAGTATTGTTTTTTTTTTTATTCTTCTTTTGTTTTTTTATTCTTGTCAATTATTTCAAGTTTAGAATTGTTTTTGCAGCCCCTATTCTTGATTGAAAAAATACCAATAATGTCTTTCTTTTATTGTTTGGATTTTGTTCTTGTATTTTATTTTGAGTTTATGTTTGGATTTCTGCCCCATATTCCATAATGGGTTTTTGTTTGTGTTTAATGGCATCTTACAAAGATTGGGTTACCCAACCTTAGTAAAATCTCTTAAACTTAATTGAAATGGTTTATCTCTATTTGATTTTCTTGATTGGTTTTTTGTTCTTGTATCTTTCTTTCTTCTTTTTTCTTAAAGTTAATGTGGCTCTGATGATGATGGCATGGCATTGCCATCATTAGATGGTGGCTTTGGTGGTGGACATCGAGACACTGTTGGTAGTGATGATGAAACTCAATCACCAATCTGAGTTCATCATGATCACATCTGATGTAATGTTGGGAGTATGGAGCTGGACTTTTTCTCATTTTTCTTTGTTTCACTGGGCTAGAATGAACTGATATTGTGGAATGTTGATTTTGGGAAATGGGTAGTGCCTATTGGGCATCTTTTTCTTGTTTTTTTTTGCCTCTATTTGACTTTTAGACTAATTCAATGGCAAGTTCACATTTGATAGATTTATGAAATTTGGTATGTCAGGGACTAGATAATGTGTTTTGGTAGTATTTCCAAGAACTATAGTTCTATGATCATTTTGGGGTAACCAAACCCCTCTAAGCAGCTTCCTTGGGGCCTAGACCCCTAAGTTTCCTAGACGGGCTGTCTAGTGAACTAGGCGCCTGCCTAGGCGTCCAAATCTGTACTTTCCAAAGTTTTTTCGATCTATCATGTTAGGTGCGTTAGATAAAGACACGATTTCTCCTAGAGAATATAACAAACAATGTAGTGAAAATATATGGCAGCTGTCGCGAAAAACACGTCTCAGACTACTTGGTATTGAGTTACAAATTCATCATTTGCATTTGCTTTTCATGACTTTCTTATCCATAGCCTGCTATTAATACTCTCCATCGTCCTTCATAAATGCTTACATTAATCAGTCTCTTGCGGGTTTCTATTTAATAATTGTGAGAAGAAGCTTTGAGCAATAATTTGTGATTAAACAGAAGGATTAGCTCCCTTAAGCAAATTAGAAATTATTTGAAATTTGATGTCCCACTGGATCATTTAGTGGGATAATAAGTTGTCATTATGAGGGAACTTTCTGCCATTGGAAACTGGAAACTTGAAATTCTTTATCTGATTCTTGAAACCATACGCTGTGCACTGCACCACAAAGTTATGATGATAGAAATGTATATTGCTTTCTGCTAACTTGTATGGGCTAGTTCCCCTACCCTTAGCGACATAAAATTTGGTGTAAGTGGATATTGAAAATTTCTACCTATGCTTCGTGAAATGTACACTGTCCCTATAGAAAAACAAATTTGCCGTTTATAGCTCTCCCTGTGGTGTTCATCTTTAATCTCAAACATCTGGTTTATGATTTTCTGCACCTTGCTTAATGTTGTTTATCTTGGCTCTTTTCCTTTTCTTTTTTTTTTGTTTTGAAAGTGTTGTTTATCTTGGCTCTGTTCTTCTCAACAGCTTGCAGCAAATAAAGTTGTCACTTCTCCAACATCGTGTAAAGTTGCTTCTTATAGATAGCATGGCTGCTCTTCTTTCGAAGTATGTGCTTTTTCTGTCCTTGGTTCCATAACGTGGTAATGAACAATTTTTCTCTCCAATGGTCAAATTATGATGACTTTTTGCATGGTTTTTTGAGATGGAGGGGAACTAGATACTCCTTACTGCATGGAAAAAACATTATTGTACAGATAAAAATTGCTTCTTGATATTGATGATTCTTGAAAGCAACATTTCAGCTCTATGTTTTAAGATACCCCGCTATTGCCGTAACGTGATTAATGCCAATCCATTGTTGATAATGATATCAAGATGCCAGATATTTACTAGAAACTTCTAAATTGTGTTCAATTGTTTCTGCTTCCTGTGCACTGTTTACTATTTTGTTGAGAATAGTTGCTTGGGAACTCGCACAAGCGATGTGCCATTATTTTTGTTCCACCACGCTCTTCATGAACTTCTAAAAATTCTGACATACAACATGAGGAAATTACCTTTAAGCATATGCACAATTGTCAAGGTGCCTTACATATATAATGTAATCCTCTCTGCGATTTGGGTTTGGGAAGGGTAGCGTGATGTACCATCTTCAGTAGCGGTCCCTAGACCTCTATGAGTCTAAAAGACTATAAAAGAAATTACCAAGGTAATGAAAATGACAACCTGTTTCATAACAACTAAGCAGTGGAGATGATTCATCATCATTGTCAAAGCCTTTTCCCAACTAATTGGGGTCGAGGCTACACGAATCTTGGTTCGTCATTTTGTTCTATTAAGGGCCATACCCTCAATGAGGCCATAAGTCCCCATATATTTTCTCACTACTTCCAACCATGTCCTAATAGGTCTACCTCTTGCTCTTTTTGAGCCTTCCACTTGAACAAACTTGCACTTCTTAATAGGAATTGTATTGGGTCTATGTCACACTTGGCCAACCCACTTAAGTCTATTCTCTCTCATCTTATCGCCTATTGGTGCCACACCTAAATTTTCCTGAATGTATTCATTTTGAATTCTATCCCTTCTTATCTTATCACTCATCTATCTCAACATCTTCATTCCCACTACACTATTCTATGGTGTATTGTTTTTTGACCGCTCAACATTCCGCCCCATAGAGCAAAGCTGGTCTCTCAGTAGTCCTATAGAACTTGCCCTTTAACTTCATTGGAATGCGGCTCTCACATAAAATTTTGGTTGCACATCTCCACTTCACCCACTCAGCTCTAATGTACGACATCTTCCTCAATCTCTCCATTTTTCTGGATTATCGATAACCCATTTTTTAGTTGTGGAGTTTATTTTCAACCCGCCTCACCACCAACTTGTGGTTGCAAAGCATATTTCATAGTGTAGCTCATATTACATATTTTCCATAATTTCTAAGGGGAAAGCTTTCTATACTTCCCCTACTATATACTTTCCAGCCATTTGATTTGAATGGACGACTGAGATGGACACAATCACAATGTCACACCTCTACACTATTTTATTTTAAGGGATGTAGCAGTGTTGGAACATGTAGTGGTGGGGCTGGGTTCCTACGGGCATAGAGAGAGTGAGGGAGAGTGGTTAAGTGGACTCGTGGGTTTCGAGATGGTCCATATCGATGGATGCAAGAGAAAGACTATTGGTTAGGAGAGGGTGGGTTTTGTAAGCAGGAGCTGTGTGTGTGTGTGTGTGTGTTTGTGTGTGTGTGTGTGAGAGAGAGAGAGAGAGAGAGAGAGAGAGAGAGGAGAGAGAGAGAGAGAGAGAGAGGAGTTTGAGAGAAGCTAAAGGAAGTGGGTTTTGCAACCTGTGGGAGTTAAGGGTACTCAGAAGCAAACCCACCATCCATGTTCATCCAAGAACAATGGATCATGGTCACAGCCCACTTTTATAGCCTCCCTGTTCTTTTATTGGGAACAGTTATCTAACTCCACTGCCATGGATAAGCAACAAGGATGGATGTTGGTGATGCATATCTGAATAATATATGAAATATAGGGAAAATTATAGAACCCCTTCCTCCAAATGAATTTTCTAGACATCCTACCCCACAATGCTTTTAGTATCACACCATAAACCCCAACTTTACTTTTTCTTGTATTTAACCCCCAGTCAAATAGTCAAAAAGTTCAGACTAAGATGCTCTTTCCCTCTCTCTTTACTAGCCCTCTCTCTCTCTACACGGGAAATATATGACATATTACTTTTTTTATTCCCTCTTTCTCTTTACCCACCCTCTCTCTCTCTCTCTCTACCCTCCTTCTACCTCTCTTTCTCGCTCCACCTACCCTCTCTCTCTACCTCACTTTCTCTGTCCACCATCCCTCTATCTTTCTCTCTGCCCGCCATCTCTCTCTTTCTCTCTCTCTACCTGCCCTATCTCTTTCTCTCTCTGCCCACCATATCTCTTTCTCTCTCCACCCGCTATATCTCTCTTTCTCTCTCTACCTGCCCTCTCTCTCCTCTCTCTCTACCCGCCTCTCTCTGTTTCTGTTAAGAGATATCGAGATTTTCTTTCTGACCTTTCTTATTTGCAGCTTCTTGATTTCAGCAACCTCGAATCTCTCTCTGATGAATAGGGTTTAAGCTTAACTAGTCTCAATCTCCATGAAAACCATATTTTGGGTGAAATTCCTTTTCGAATTGGGCACCTAACCAACCTCAAATACACTTATCAGAAAACAAGCTTTCGGGATTCATCCCTTACTCCATTGGAACGCTATCAAATCTTGCCTGGTGCCCAATTCTCTGGTTCCTTGCTTGAATCAATTGGAAAGATGGGTAATATTCAGAGACTGATTTTTTAAATTAACATGCTTTCTGGTGATATTCCAGAGAGTTTAGGCAATCTCAGCTCTCTCACTGATATATATTTCTCCAATAACCAATTAAAGAGTAAGATTCCGGCAAGTTTGGGCAACCTTCAAACCTTCAAGCTCTTGATCTCTCCAAAAACAGGCTCTCTGGTCGGTCCTCTGCCCCTGCGACTCTCAAAGCTTGGAGACTTGCAAATCCTAGATTGAGAGAGAGGGTAGAGAGAAAAAAGTGAGAGAAAGAAAGAAAGAAATAGAAAGGGCAGATAGAGAGAGAAAGAGAGGGAGGGTGGGTAAAGAGAGAAAGAGAGAATAAAGAGTAAGAGATCTCCCGTGTAGAGAGAAGGCAGGTAGAGAGTAAGAGAGAAAGAAATAGAAAGGGCAGATAGAGAGAGAAAGAGAGGGAGGGTGGGTAAAGAGAGAAAGAGAGAATAAAGAGTAAGAGATCTCCCGTGTAGAGAGAAGGCAGGTAGAGAGTAAGAGAGAAAGGGCATTTTAGTCTTAATTTTTTTGATTATTTGAGTGGAGGGTTAAATACAAGAAAAAACAATATTGGGGGGCAAGATATCTACAAAGTACATTTTGGGGGGGGTTTTTATAATTTTCCCTTAAATATATCTGTACCTGAAAAAAATGTGAGTACTCGATATTCTGATGTGATAGCCATGGCCGCTTCCACTTATAGATCCCTTACTTAGCAGATCCCTCTCTGATTATACTTTAGTTTCATAATTAAACAGGGATTATCAACACTATTTACTGTTCGATTGATTTATAACACTCTATATGCTGTAGTGAGTGTGAGTGGGATCAGAAAGCATCCAGACAGGACTCATTGGGCTGGCACATGTCATTCCTCAAGTAAGAATAAATTCTTGAAGGTTTAAAACTGCTTGAGTTCTACACTTACTACATTTTTCATCTTTAATAAGCTTGACACTTTTTGCGTTAATTAGCAAAAACTCTCCTCGCAGATCTCTTTCTGAATTCTCAAGAATACCTGTTGTCGTTACGAACCAAGTGCGGGCACAGAGCAGTGACTATGCCTCGAGCTATCCTTTTCAAGGTGTGATGCTAAGATTGAGAATGGCAAGATATGTTTGAGATCTCTCTCTCTCAACCCCCCTGACCCCGCTATGTGTGTGTTTTTGTTTGTGTATGTATGTGTGTATGTGCGTGCATGCACATGCGTGTGTATTTATTATCCATCTGTCTGTCTATGTGCATATATGTCTATCTATTCTCTCTCTATCTAGAAATATATCTTATGTGCATAAACATGTGCAATTATCAATACTGTGCATGTGCAAGGTTTATCTGTTTCTCAAATTGCAGTACATGTAAGGGATCAGTCAATCAGGAATTCGGAGAGATCTGAATCTCATTTGGTTGGTGCTTTGGGGTTCAACTGGGCTCATGCTGTAAACATCCGCCTTATTCTCGAAGCTCATTCAGGTTGGATTTCACGCTTCACGCTTGCGCAAAGCTTTGGATTTAGTTGATAAGAGTATGACACTGATCTAATTTGTGCTACTTTTACCTCATATATGGTAATTTGGTAAGAAAAGCTAGCAGTATTTTGATATATGGAGCTGTTCCAGTTTCTATTACTTGCTACCTTGACAACAAAATTTTTCACAAACGATATTTCTTGGTTTTGAATGTATTTTCAAAGCTCTGATATTATGTTTGGGTTTGAATGTATTTCAAAGCTCTGATATTAAATTTTTCAGGTAAGAGGTTTATTAAGGTGGCAAAATCGCCAATTTCTCCACCATTGGCATTCCCATATTTTGTGTCCTCATCAGGAATTACATTGGAAACTGACAATGGAATCGAAGTGGCTGGACCAGATATAAACACCATTCGCTGCCAAGGTATGGTGCTGAGGATTCCTTGATTGGGATTCCTTTTATTCCTCAATTTGCAGCGCTGCTTACCAGAATTATTGCATCCCCTCCGAAAGAACTTATGCTTTCTATTTGCGAATTGAAGTCTCCCTGTTCAAAAGTGCATCATCTTTGTTTTATGACATTTGTCTTTTTCCTTTTAGGGCAAATTACCTTTAAAGTTGAGTTTAGAGGACCATATATCATGTATGCTCTTAATATGTTTAGACTTATCTACTCTTACTCGAAAAAAATATGTTTAGACTTTAGACTTATCTTCCTACTATAAAGATTGAGAGATTAAATGGGGTTTTGAATATAATATACAGAAATGCATGGGGATTGAGAGATTTTAAGAGACAATGGTAGAGAGGATTGGACCCACATGACTACTCCATCAAAATGCATTTCTCCCTTGTTTTGGTTTTAAAAAGGTTTGATATAATAAAACTACAAAAATTTATAGCTCATAGGTGTTTGAAGATGGATTTGTTTTGTGAATTTTTGCTTTCTAAAACTCTGTAGTTGGTTTCCTTGCTTCCCTCTGCTCTTTTCATCTGCTTTTTTTATGGACTAAATACCAATCAGTGTTTTAAAAATCGGTGACCCGATATGGAATCGGGCGATTTGGATCGAATATCAATGGCACTGTTCTGAATCCGTTAAATAAAATGGGATTAATACGATTTGCTACATAAATTTTGTCAATAAAATGGGATGATTTGCTACATAAAATTTGTTAATAAAATATGATTCATACGATTTGCTACATAAAATTGGATTGATTATGTCATGACCCGGTGAGGTGCTATGCGGTCATGACCTGGCGAATCAATGCAGAGAACCGGAATCGTTGAACAATTCTGCTGTAAAAAATGTAGAGGCTCCGTTGAACAATTATGTTATAAATAATGTAGAGACGGGCCCACCCATCGATGTGGGATATATGCAACTTCCATTACCTCTATACTCTTGTTTGTGCATTGGTGATTTAGTCAACCGGGCAATACAGGCATGTAAGCGATTATAATGCTTCCTTATGTAAGTTTATAATCACAACTAAATCATAAATTACAAAAAGATGAAAAAAAGATGAAATAAAAAATTAATAGTTATTACATTGGTAGATTCTATACTGAGTTTAACATTGCTATTGAGAACTTTAATCTGACCTATTCCATATCAAAATCAAAAAAAGTATTTTTCAATTGTTTGTTTATGTTTTATTTTTTAAATTTTCACATTTTATTAAAGTAGGAATTCAAATATTGCTTACAAAATATACTAGCAATTTAAAGTATTTTTTTAAACTTATTGTCTGTTATAAAAAATATACAAGTAATTTAAAATAGAGTAATGATCCTGTGAGATCCTTCCACACCCATGTGTGTAGGATTCCAAATGATCACCATTAAATTTGGTACAAATTTTCATAAAAGTTATCACATGGGTGTGGGACTTGACTTTTTTTAGAGATTTGTGTCAAATTTAATGGATATCTTTTGGGATCTTACACACATGGGTGTGGGAGGGTTTCATAGGATCATTACTCTTCAAAAATATACATGCAAGGGCTATCTTGTATTTTGAATCACATTTAATATAATTAATAATTATATAATCAAATCTTATATCTTATTTATTAATATATTTATTTTATAAATTATATAATGTATTATTCTTTGTTATAGTTGTAAATTAGATAATATTATATTAAAAAAATCAATCCCTTCTCCTTCCTCTTATGGGAAGCTCCTCGCTCCTCCAATTTTTTCACTATTAAAATCTACGGCTTGAGAATTTTTCGGATCGATCTAGTATATATCAGATCCTGATCTGGATCCAGATCCTATAGGATCCAAAATATTCAGATCCAAATTTCGATTCAAAACTATATATAGGATGCAGATTTGGATCAATTCCAATTTTGTATATTGTAAAGTTAAAATATAATTATAAAACTTAAAATTATTATATATACATAAGTTATAACATATATGCATATATATAAAATAATATATATTATTTTAAAAATCGGGTCAGATCCAGATAGGATCCACCTATATCAAGATCCGACCCAAAGTACAATTCGGGTCTAGATTTTAGATCCAAATTCAAATCTTGGATCCATACTCAGATTGAAATAAAATCCAATTTCAAGTTTTGAATCCGAACTGGGTAAATTCTAAGCGCTATTAAAACCATCTCCCTATCTCTTATTGCGTCAACTTGCTCTCAGCCCTATTAAAACCATCACCCTATCTCTTATTGTCTCAACTTACACTCATCTTTGAACTACATGCCTTTTGCCTCAACCATCTCTCAAGAAACAGTGTGCCATTTTGTTGGGTGCAGTTTGCATACGGATGCATCTAGAGGGAAGGCGCACTCTCAAATTTTATCATGGTATATAGTTTTAATGTAAAATGTTTTTAAAATTATCTCAAAATTTATTTTTTTATCTAATTATAAAATTTTAAATTTAAAAAATGGTTAAAATCAAGTAGATCTATAAACATATGAAAATCTCGAAAATGGACGGTGTAGATAATATGGTTGTAAAATGTACATTTCTGAGACTTAAAATCTTTTTGTTTTTCACAGTCATACATCTTGATATCGAGATGATCAATCAAAAGGTTTTTCAACATTGAAACTACCTTTTCCGATGGATTTTTGAGGGGCATCCGTAGTTCTATATTATAAGGTAGCATCCCTACATAAACTTTTTCCTTATTTTATTGTTCCATTTTGAGGGATTGTTATATGTTGTTCCTTTCTTCTTTCTCTATGATGTCATTCACGTCCTATACTATGATTTGACTATACTTTGAATGAAAGAAAAGTAGGTCTAATTTTGTTTGGTTGCTTGAAGTTTCATATTTTATACCTTTCTCACTATCATGTTCCTAAGAGCCTATGCCAAATTTTGATTATATTTGTTGAATGGAAGAATATGAAAAAACTTACAGATAAAGAATGAGTGAACATTTGAAATAATCTTAATTTTGGCATCCTTCTAATATTCATTTAACATACACTTGTCCATTCTTGCATTACTCGGTTATCTATCCCAACATAATGACTGAGAGATTATTCTTAGAATTTTTTACTATTTTAAAATCTTTTAAAAAGTAAAATGTTGTCTTCACCAACAAAATTTAATCTTTCATTAAAAAAAATAAAAAGAAATAAATTTGAAGAACGAGCTTTGTTTATTTTTTTGTTTCAAGTGCAACTTTCAAGTAGTTTTAGAATCTTATATTTCAAATTTTAGATTTTAAATACTTTAATTTTGAAATAAATTTGAAGAACGAGCTTTGTTTACTTTTTGGTTTGCAAGTGCAAATTTCAAGTAGTTTTAGAATATTTTATATTTTACATTTTAGAATTTAAATACTTTAATTTTTCATTTAAGATTCATTTTCTACAGAATTTTCAAATGTATTTCTTTTTCTTTGAAAATAGTTTACCACTAATTTGCAAACCTTTCATAGAAATCATGTTGATCTTTCCACAAAGAATGGGAAATATAAAACCATAGTTTTTCCTTTTTTGGATTAATTAAATAAATTTATATTTTAATATTTTGTGCTTCAGAAAAATATTTGTAATGGATTTTCATGGAAAATAATTTTTTATTAACATTTATTTAATCACTAAAATAAAATTGTTTTATTTACCACAAAAGTTATTATCGGTTTCAAGACCTTATCTGTTATTCCATTATATTTTTTAATACTTTTAATTACATTTATTACTAATTTTAGTTTTGAGATATTTTAAACATTTGTAAAAACTTGCTACCATTTCATTAAATTTAAATTATTTAAAAATAGCTTTTAAGCAATTTCTGGTATTTCCATAATAAATTATTAAATACTTACAAAAATATTTCTTTTTGGCAAAAATAGAAAGTTAGAAGCCATATTGTGAATAATTATTAATACAAGATGGCAAATTTTGGTTAAAGTTTTCATCAAAACTAACTTTCAATTTATTTTTCATTTTTATAATTTTTAATATTTTTAAATGCATGTTTTCTTTTTCCATTTATTTTTAAACTCTGGTACTATGCTATAATTTTTATATGCAAATAATGATGGATAATTTGAGTATCATCTAACATTACATAACTATATTCAAAATATATTATTGATTTCTTTTGTTTCTTTGAGTATCTTTTATTTTTTATATCCTCTTACAATTTCTACAGTAACATCTAACATTACATAACTATGTTCAAACTATATTATTGATTTCTTTTTTTTCTTTTAATATATTTTATCTTTTATATCTTCTTACATTTCTACATTCAACTGACGTTAATGCAGCACACACACATTACAATTTTGGAAATCTTTAAATCAATAGAAGATTAAAATAACTTCTACCATAAATTTTCATTAAGATAGATTTATAAGATTTTCAAATTTGATATAATTGTTGGGTTTATGTGGCCTTTAAAGGCCTTATGAGAGCTTATGAGAGCTTGTATGAACATTTTATATAGTGGAATATAAACTTCGTGGGAGTGTGGTTTTTTGCTGATACTCGGACTAGGCTAGACGAGTTAGGCTAGCCGAAGTTTGGAAAAACCAAAAAGACCTGGGCATAGGGATCTATCGAGAAGAGTTTAGTGGGTTATCCCTTGATGAGATCGGAGTATGCTCAAATGAGAGCCAAGAGACTATGTAGCCCTTGCGTGTGATGAATAGCCTTTAGAGACAGGGCTAAAACCTCATCGTTATATCATCACATGACATGCATATAGATAGCCGTTTTGAGATTCATCAATGAGGATGAAGCGTGTACATGTGTGAGAAATTACTTCTATGTACCATATAGTCATGCTTGCATCATGGTCTAGAGGACCATGATTTTTGTCTCTAGGGGAGAACTTAAAATCCATAACTGGGATTTCGTCCCCTAGTCTATTAGCTGGCTTTGGTGGTCTAATCATAAACCCCTGTAGTGGACTGTGGGTCATGACAGTTGTTGAGTCAGTTTGAGAAAGCTAGGCGGATCGTGATTCGCAGTTGAAGGTGAAGTGCTCCCATGTAATGCTAATTTCCTAAATCTAACGGTTCTGATTTCCATCAAAATTAATTAATTTTATGTTATGTGATTTTTAGAATGTTTATTTGAATTTTTGTGAATCATTTGATATTTTATTTTTATCATTTGAATTTATAAATTAAGAGAAATTAATTTTTCAATGTTTTAAATAAAATATAAAATTTAAAAATTCTAAATATGAAATAAATTTTTTTTCTAAAAGTATTTGAGACCTCCATAAAATATGGGGCCCAAAATTTAAAAAGATGTGGATTAGGTAGGGCCCACATGTGGCCACCA